AGGGAAAACCTATCAGCCTTAGTGACTAGGCATACATTTGCATACCACTACTATCGGCTATGCTACAGCTTGATAGAACCAGGACCTGCCATGGAAGCCTGCCCGACTGTGACGATGGCTAGAGACAGACATTACACATAAACTGGTTTAAGTGATCAGAAACTGGTTTAAACCTGTAACAGAACAGATGTTCAGTGCACATAAACCAGTTTGAAAACGGCTGAAACAGGTTTGAGATAAACCTGGTTGAACGTAGTATCAGACTTAACTGATTTGGGTCAAAGTGGCTTATGCAATGTCTGTCCTAGACCCTTTCATGGTTTAAGTTAAACCAGACTCCCCCAGCATCTCAACATGCTCTCTGTGCTGGGCTCTTAGCTGCACAGCAGAGCTGACCCATCCCCTCTGCCTTATATAGACACCTCTCAGCATTACCTAGCATACCACATGATGGCTATGGTCGATGCTGTGGGAGACTGGTTCCTTCCTTGGAAAAGCTGTTTAAGAAGAGCTTGAACTAATGTTGAGAGGCTTTGTTTTCTGATGGAGTGATAAATACTGAGTTAGGGGTGATAAACACTGTGTTATCAACTGCCTGCTGGGGTGCTTGTGTGGGGGACCCCTCCCTAATCAGAGCATCCTGCCAGGGCCTGGCCATGCCTCCCTCAGCTCAGCACTATGGAAGGGAAGGAAGGGCTGCTCTAACACCCCCCGGCTTCTAGCCTGAGCCACTGTAGGCATGTACCTGCATTTCTGGGATGTCTGAGTGGCTACAAACTGGTTTGGCCTAGCCAGGTTAAACTAACCTGCAAAGATTGAATCAATTCAGGCTCAGGTGTTTTGAATGTCTGCCCCTAGCTGGTGAGTCCAGAGAATAGCAGCACATGGGCTAAGTACAGGCAGTCAGAAAGCCTGAGGCTGAATTGATTCAATCTCACAGGTTAGTCAAAGCTACATAGATTGAACTGATAAGCGAGTAAACAGACATTCACTTTTGATTCTAGAAATGCAGCCACCTTTATGTGGTGGCTTAGGCCAGAAGCCAGAGAGCACTAGAGCATACCTCCTTGCTTGGCTGGAGCAGACAACCTGGGCCAAGGCTAGTCCACCCATCTGTGGGGGGTGGGGATTTGCAGGAGAGGTGCAATGCATCCTGGGGTACTGGGGGGTGGGGATTTGCAGGAGAGGTGCAATGCATCCTGGGGTACTGGGGGACTGAGAGTTAACTTAAATCTGGAAGAGATCTGAAGTTCAATAAACAGATTTAACTTAAATCAGTTAAGTTTGATACTACATCCTTCCAGGCTTATGTTAAATTGGTTTCAGCCATTTTGAAAGCAGTAATTCTCACTGAATTTCTGTTATGTTACAGATTTGAAGTGGTCACCAATTATTTATACCAGTTTGTGTGTCACATCTGTTCCTAGCCAATGCCAATCTTTAAGGAACTGGAAGCATAGCTTTGCTGTCCCAGAACAGAGCACTGGCTTGACCAAGGTCGTCATTAACATTCCCAGTGCCTGGCAGTGGACACTTTTCAGTTCAGGGGTGAACCAAAAAGTCACGACAAAAGTTGTTTGAGTCAAATCAAAATAAAATAAAACAAAGAATTGTTTCAAGTTTTTTGTCAAGACCAAAAAGTTTTTAAAAAAACAGTGCCTTGAGTCAACCCGGAACATTTTTCTCACCCTGACATGACTTACATAATTTTCTAGTTATTTTGCCTTCTCAAATGCTTTCTTGTTTAGTTGGGTTTGTTCTGTTTTGCTTTGTATTTTAATTTACTCCATTTGTAAATACAAAGTAATAGTTTGGGAAAAAAAGAGGATGCATTTAAAAGTGCTTTGACATGAAATATTTTGACAAATTTTTAATAATCCCTCCCCCACCTTTTCTTTTATTCACTGAATTCAAATCGATTGCAGGAAAAGTTTCAATTCCCCCAAAACTCAATTTTTAGTGCATTTAATATTTCTCAGACACATTCAGCCCAGTTTCTACATGAGTGAGGTTCTCAGCAGTGAGGGAAATTTCTTCCTGTCTCCTGTCTCAGTGATGCCCTATGAGAGGGGTGGCCAACCTGTAGCATGAATGGTACAAATAGCATGGGCAGCCTGTGTGTGTGCCACCTGGCAGATCAGGGAGCAGACAGACAGCACAGCAGCAGATAGGGCAGGGAACAGTAAGCAGAGCAGCAGATTAAGCAGGGAGCACAGGGCAGGGAGCAGAAAGCAGAGGAGTGGATGGGCAGGGGCAGGGCACTAGAGTGCCACTCAGGGAGCATGCACGGCAAACTTGTGACATGCCTCTCAAAAGATTGGCACAGTGGATCAGGGATTTCATTCAGCACCCAGGACAGAGGGATGATGGCAAGGGAATGTTGACCACAGTAGATGGGCGGGATGGGGAGCACCATTTTGCTTACCCCACTCAACCCTGCCTCCCCCAGCTCCCCAGATACACTGGCATGACACAGCATTGCCCATCTCCTGTGCCTGGGAAAAGGCAGCACAGGATTTCCCCCAGCATTGCAAAATCTGGGGGGAGAGGAAGAGAGAAGCACAGTTTCATTCCCCCACCATCTTCAGATACACTGCTTAGTGTGGTACTGCAATGCCCAGCTCCTGGGGCCTGGCAAAGCAGTGCAGGGATTCTCCTGCTGTGGAAAAGATTCCCAGAAGGGTGGACCCTGGTACCCCTCATAGTTGGGCCCGGGCCGGGTACCCCTCTCACCCTGTCCTAATTATGCAAGAGGGTTGACTCCCACTGCTGTATTGTACCTATAGGGACCGTTGATACCACCCCAAGTTGCCACACACTTTTTCACAGAGGAAATCCCCAGAGCTGTAACTGCAGGTTTCAAGTCCTGTTTCATAGTTGGTAGGGTTGGAAGGAACCTGAGCAGATCATCAAGTCTGACCCCCTTCCATGGGCAGGAAAGGATGCTGGGGTCAAATGACTCCATCCAGGTGATTATCTAGCCTCCTTTTGAAGAAACCCAGGGTAGGAGCGAGCATCCTACCTTGGAAGTTGGTTCAAGATCCTAGCCGCCCTGACTGTGAACTAGTGCTTCCTGATGTCTAGCCTGAATCTACTCTCAGTCAACTTATGGCCGTTATTCCTAGTTACTCCTGGTAGGACTCGGGGGAGCAGGGTCTCTCCCATTCCCCGCTGGTTCCCCTTGGTAAGTTTATAGATGGCCACTAGATCCCCTCTCAGCCTTCTCTTGTGAAGGCTGAACAGGTTCAGGTCCCGTAGCCTCTCCTCGTAGGGTCTGCCCTGCTGCCCCCGATCATGTGAGTGGCCCTCCTCTGGACCCTCTCCATGTTGTCCACATCCCTCCTGAAGTGCAGCGCCCAGAACTAGACACACTACTCCAACTGCAGCCTGACCAGTGTTGCATAGAGGGGGAGGATCACCTCCTTGGACCTGCTCGTGATGCATCTGTAGATGCATGACAAGGTGTGGTTAGCTTTACTGACCGTGTCCTCACATTGGCGGCCCATGTTCATCTTGGAATCGATAATGACTCCAAGATCCTTTTCTGCCTCTGCACTGACGAGAAAGGAGTTCCCCAGCCTGTAGGTATGCTGCTGGTTCTTCCTCCCTATTTGCAGTACCCTGCACTTGTCCATGTTGAAACCCATCCTAGTCTCATCCGCCCACCCTTGTAACCTGTCCAGGTCTAGCTGTAGCCTGTCCTTCCCTTCTAACATGCCCACCTCTCCCCACATCTTAGTGTCATCCGCAAATTTGAACAAGGTGCTTTTCACCGCCTCGTCCAAGTCGCTGATGAAGATGTTGAACAGTGCGGGCCCGAGGACCGAGTCCTGGGGGATCCCACTTCCCACATCCCTCCAGGTCAAAATGACCCGTCCACCACCACTCTCTGGATGCGTCCCTCTAGCCAATTTGGACCCATCTGACTGCGTAGGCATCAACACCACAGTTGCCTAATTTTTTGATGAAAATGGGGTGAGAGACAGTGTCAAAGGCCTTCCTAAAGTCCAGAAAGACTACATCCACCGCAACACCTGCATCCAAGGATTTTGTGACCTGGTTGTAGGCCACCAGGTCTGACAGGACCTGCCCCTAATGAACCCATGTTGGTTGCCCCTAAGCATAACCTCCCCTGCTGGCCCTTCGCAGATGTGCTCCTGGATTATTTTCTCAAAGAGCTTCCCCAGGACCAAGGTAAAACTAATGGGCCTGTAGTTTCCTGGGTCCTCCTTCCTCCCTTTTTTGAAAATGGGGACCACATTGGCCCTTTTCCAATCCTCTGGCACCTCTCCAGAGCACCACAAGCGCTCATAGAGCTGTGCCAGGGCTCCCGCAATGTCTTCTGCCAATTCCCTCAGCACCCTTGGTAGAGATCATCTAGACCCGCCAATTTGAAGATGCCCAGTCCCACCAGAAGTTCCCTGACCAGGTCCTCACTGACCCTGGCCCCGGCTGTGCCTCTCCTGAGTTCGTCCGGGACTCCAGTGAGGGGGATGTCCCGATCCCTGCTCAGAAAAATGGAGGCAAAGAATTTGTTAAAGAGGTCAGCTTTATCACCTGGTGCAAGCACCAGATTGCCAGGCGTGTCCTGCAAGGGCCCCACATTACCCAGTGCTTTCTTTTTACTCCCTATGTATTTAAAAAAGGACTTCTTGTTGTCTTTGATCCAGGTCATTAGTCCCGGTTCTGTTAGCAGAGGTGCCCTGCGTCACCTACTCCAAAAAAAGTGTTAATAGGAGGCAACAACCTCTGTATATGCTTTATTGAACAAGGATCCTTTATTCTTTAGCTGATAGGCAAGGCCTTGATCCTAAAAGCAGCTCCATGTCGAATGAATTCAAGGGCTCCATAGAGCTCAAGAATCTGTCTGTACAAAGCAGCTTGCAGTTTCAAGGCTTTATTTCTTACCATCATCTGCGCCCCGCCTCCCTCCCAACAAACTGTGCTCCCAGCACAGCTCAGCTCTGGGTCACAGGAAGTAGATAGTTGCAGGAGGCGGCGTCTTCTTTTAGGCTGCTGTTTCAAGCTTGTCTGTCTTTGCTTCCTGCAGGTACTCAGACTTTCTTCACAAATTTCACTTCTACTCATTTATAGAAATGATACAGTGCTTAAATATTAACCCTAGAGCTAGAGGCCAGATCTGCAAATATTGGAAATGTTGATACTAGGCTAGAGAGTGAAACTGCATGGCAGGTTACAAAATGAAGGCTTTGTTTCTACATGGCAAACAGTGAAACTTCCTGAATGATTGTGTACCTGTAAATCAGCTCTTACAAATGTCAAAACACAAGCAATACAATAATGTGTGTTTTTTCTATTTAGTCCAGGAATGCATGGCACTTTGCAAGAGAGATGAGGCAGTCTGCAGATTAAGATGCATTTTGTTGGGTGCTGATGTTTGCTAGTATTTTCAAACACCAGCCTAAGAAAACCTGGGTAATTCTTAGTGGTATATATTTTTTCTCTGTAGCTGGTGCAGACAGTAATTGTGCATCATATCTGGCTAATGGCATCCTGCATATGTTATCTGAAATTTTCTTTGTGTTTCTGACTCTAAAGTCCTGGGGGTATCCCATGCCAGTTCCAAACCATGATAGGAAAGGGACATGTGCCAGTGTCTCTGCTCAAAGGTTTTACATTGAGCTCATTGAGCTTGCTGAGCTGGACTTTGGAATTTCAGTTTTCCTTCAACTTTGTCACTGCCAGAGGTGTGCTGCTGATAGTGCTGGAGTAGATGGGCCCCTGGAGTGTATAACCCCTGTACAATTTAACTCTGAAAAATGCTTCTGTACCTCTAGCCCAGAAGTTTAGTGAGTCCCATATAAATTTGATCACCCTGTAGCCATAATCAATAATACTCCGACAGGAATTGCATCACCCACTATTAAGGCACAGAACCTTGATTTAAAGGAGAAAGGCCATTCAAGAAAGGAGCTGGATTGGAGTTTTTTCCTTCCTTTTTGTATCACTTCATGATGGAAAAGGCTGGAAGTCTTTTTTAAAAAAACCCTGCCTGTTTATTACAACTCTCAGGATGGTCGAGTGTACCATGCAGTGATGTTGCTGGATAACTTGTTGAGTGTTTCAGGGAAGTGGTTTGTGCCAGAAGTTGAGGCTTTTTTCCCAAAGAGAATGTTTCCCAGCTATCCATGGGGTATTGGAGTGTAAAAAGCTGTAAACATGAATCCAGCACTTTGAACTTCCGCCAATGTGAGGAAGCTGTCAGTAAGTAACCGCACCTTGTCATGAATCTACAGATGCATCACAAGCAGGTCCAGGGAGGTGATCCTTCTCCTCTATGCAGCATTGGTCAGGCCGCAGCTGGAGTACTGCATCCAGTTTTGGGCGCCATACTTCAAGAGGGATGTGGCTAGCATTGAGAGGGTCCAGAGGTGGGCTTCTCGCATGGTCAGGGGGCAGCAGGTCAGGCCATACAAGGAGAGACTAGAGGGCCTGAACCTATGCAGCCTCCACAAGAGAAGGCTGAGGGAGGATCTGCTGGCCATCTACAAATGCACCAAGGGGGAATAGGAGATGCCCTGTTCCCCCAGGCACCACACGGGGTAACTAGGCATAACAGCCACAAGTTGATAGAGAGCAGGTTCAAGCTAGACATCAGGAGGCGTTACTTTACGTTTAGGGCGACTAGGACCTGGAACCAACTTCCAAGGTAAGCGGTGCTCGCTTCTATTTTGGGGGTGTTTAAGAGGAGGCTGGATAGATACCTGACTGGGGTCATATGACCCCAGCATCCGTTCCTGCCCAAGGCAGGGGGTCAGACTTGATGATCTGTTTAGGTTCCTTCCGACCCTATCAACTATGAAGCTATGAATTAAAATAATTCCCCCTTTCACTGCGGAGGTTTTGCTTGCAAGCATCTTGATGGGCCAGACTTCCAGGTCTTTCAGTGGTCCATAGAGTCTCTGGGTTTTCTAGACAAGTACTGATTATCTAAATGTCATATTAGTCAGAAAAAGAAACTAAATCTCCCCAGTACCAAACAGCAAGAGAGGGGATTAGGCCAAATCTATTCCTCCTCTGTAGAGTGACTCAATGGAGTTCCCGTTCCCTGGAGAAAAAACAAAAGGTGTCATTGTAACTGTGTCAAGTTACACAAATCTGTTGTGACTGTGTGTTTATCTAAGTGCAATGGGAAGCCCAGTGCTGGAGGGACTGGGCTTTAGGAGCTGTCACTTTGAAGCACTGGACTCCTTCTGCATGCAGATTTAATAGGGAATGTGTGAACTGACAGCTCCCTGGGAAAGAGCACAGTGTTCCCACACTGCCTCCCAGGGAGAGGCACTTAGTATAGAGGGCCCACCATATCCGTACAGAGGGTGGCTCAGCCCCACCTGGCCAGCTCAGCTAGACAAATGCAAGGCAAGTGTGTGGGAGCAGGTTTCCATGGGGCTGAGCAAATAAGCAAAGCCATGAGTTGGGGAAAAGATTTTCTTCTTTGGAGCACTCTTTAAACACAGGCTTTTAAAGGCCTGAGGCAGGGGCTGCCATAGAAGTAGCCCAGCCCTGGGGTAGGAGAGGTTCCCAGCCTGGAGCCCAGGGGACTTTAGTTGAGATTAAGTGTTTTTATTTCGCAGTTTTACTGCATGTAGACACGTGCTTACTGTGCAGTAAACTAAGCTACTGCACAGTTAAACATTTCATGTAGATGTGCCCACAGAGCCATGGAAGTTAAATTAAAAACCTCAGTGATAACAGTCTGGCTTTAAGCATCCCCTTGCAATGTATTATCACTATTAATCCCCTCAAATTACCTGATGGTATACTGGAGTAGAAGTCTAGAGGCTTCACATAGTTACAGCAGTACAGAATTTGGGGGCAATCCATTGGTTTCCATAGGTTTTGAATCAGTTCCCTTGGTCCTTATTTTACAGTAGTGTCTGAAGGCTGAACCAGGATGAGGTTACCATTTTATACCAACAGATATTCTGGCCTCTTCAAAGAAGAATCTAAACATCCCCCATTCCCAAGAGAGCTACAAGCTAGCCTTCTAGTCATGACAGGCCCTGTGGCAGTAACTTATAAATTTACATAAGCCCTCATGGCTCAGTTTAGGATCAGGATCCTGTGATGTTAGAGGCTGTGTGTATATATAAAGCAAGATGCGGTTCCTTCCTCAAAAAATTGGCAAGTCAAGGCCCAGGGCTTGGGAAGGTCCTAATTGGTTTTCCCTCACGACATGTGCAAGAGTCCACTCCCACTAAGAGCAGAAAGGAAGTGGCAGGAGATGGAGACAGCCATGTATATTCCTTTCTTCAGCACGCATGTATATTTTCATTATTGCCATTAAAAGAGATAGCATAAATGTCATCTGTGCTGTCTGCCCTTCCATTTAGTTGTCATTCATTAGCTGCTTCCTCTAGGGCCTGACCCAGAGGGTACTGACATCAGTGAAAGTCCTGTGGATTTCAGCATGCTTTGGATTGGGCCCTAAGGGCTGAGATGGGTTTCATGAAGAGACCTCATTTTTTCTATTCATTTCACCCATAGGCCCAAATAAAACCAAAGCTTGGTTCCCACTTCCATTTAATTCCCCCTGCATCTCACTGGTCAGCCCCATCAGGAGGTAGCCCAACTTGTCCCCACAAGTCATGTTTCCTTTTATTTTAGTCTCTGGCTACTGACTCTCCAGTGATGTCCTGGCTGGACAAGGATAAGAGTCCATCCCCATGTCTCATCCAGAGACTGGACCACCTAGTGCTGACTGTGAAGAGCATTGAGGACACCGTAGCCTTTTATTCCAAAGTCCTGGGCATGGAAGTAGTCACCTTCAAGGTAACATAAGCAGCCAATGAGTCTGGGAGTCCTGAGAAGGGTTTATGCCCCATCGATCCATAAATGTGCCTGCAGACATTTCAAATTTAAAAAATGTCAGGGTGCTCTAGAGGTAAAGAGCTTATGGATCAATGGGGCATAAACCCTTCTGTTGCAAGGGACAAGCACTAAACCTATATACTGGGGAGCAGGAAGAAACTGCCTTTAAGAGTCAGTCCTCCCCTC